TAGAAACCCTAGGATCCGAAGAATATACATCTTTTGCAATGAGCCCTACTTTTTTTACGGGCACGGATATGCTATTCTCCTACCCGCCTATCTTTGCCCGTTGGGTTCAAAACTGTACCCGCACTCCATGCCCGCGGGCACAAATTGGCGCCCGTATCTTTAGGTTGCTCAGCTCGCTTTTGAATAAACGCATGCACTTGGGACCATCGGTCTCTAGACTTTAGAATCATTGCCGTGAGCTACTTTTTAATCATGTAACGGTCTTTTTTTCTCACAACATTTTAGTATAAGCATTAGCATAAGTTAATTTTCAGCATAAACGAACAGGAGACAAAGAGGCATGCGTTGAAGGTCCTTGACAACCACGTGGCTTTGCAGCTTTTAGACGTCCTTGTGTGGTGCTCAGACGCTCCATTCTTATGCAGACATGCTCTTTTCTCAAATTTTGTTTACACAATACATGAAGTTCAAAATTACGATAATAATCAAGCTTTAAATGCTAATATTTAATTAACCATATGTCTGATTTATAATTTGTTTTCACCATAATATTTTTTAAGATTTCATCTACAAAACAAGATTCCACATAGCCATATTTCGATAAATGAAACAACAATTACAAAAAAAAATGTTCCCCAACAACCAAAGAAACATTTTGGGTAAAAATTATGTACCCTACTGAACAAGATTTGCTGCAGCTTAATTTACAAAAAATGCAACCAATAGATCTTTTAGAAACTACAAGTACGATGTCACACTATAATGAACTTGATTGGATGAAAATCACGTGTAGGACAGCAGTCTGCAGTTTTCTCAGCTCTCCTTTACCCATGCAGGTGGGGAATCACTTCTGAAAAGGCTGCATGCATGGTGTTAAAAATTTTAGATAATCAACCTTGAGCTAATATTATTTTAACCATACGATTTATAATCTATTTTCATCATAATATTTCTTATGATTTATCTACAAAACAAGATCTCACATGGCCATATTTCATTTGAAGAAAAAAACAATGATAAAAGTTGGAACGTCCAGCCATAAAAAAAATGGGTACTCGTAGCTGAATAAAAAAAAGGCCATGAGTCTGTATAGACACCAAAAAAAAATCGGAACATATTCGAAGCCGAGCGAAAATTCTTAATTTCGGTTAGACATGACCAGACATTTCGCATTTCGTCCGCTATAAAAAGAATGAATACTCTTTGCTAGCAAATCCAGAAATCCTAAACAGCTTTCATCTGCGGGGGCTGGGTGTCTGTGCATGCATGCGCCTGCTTTCATCTGCGCGCAGCAGAGCGGTCCAAAGCATTGGGTGCTGTGCAGTCAAGCTCTATCTGCGCGCGCAAAGGACCACCCCGAGTGGTCAGCGTTTTTCTATTGCTACATCCGGTAAGAAACTGGGAAGACATAATTGTTTGGCTGTTTTGGTGGGTCGGGTAGCTACCACACTCGGGTAGGCAGCTACCACCCGTTGTAGCTGAATATTTCCCGAGATAATATACCGTATATATATATATATAAGAAGAAGAAGGACATCGAGTTGGATTCTGCTTACCGTGTCATATGCTGTCATGCTGGGTAGGTTGTCCTGATAATTCGTCTTGTTTTACCTATCGGGTGCAGGAACCGTGTTCGACTACGCTCCAAGTTCCAAACGAGCATATATTTCCAAAGGGAAAAAAACGGAAAAGATATGTACCTCAGCTGAGAGCTCCCGTCGAACATCCGCTCTGGGCCGGATCTCCGTCCGTACGGACAGGAGTTTCCCAAGCGCTTTTCTATTTTACTCCCTCCATCCCAAATTGTAAAGCGTTTGACTTTTTTTTGCCTCAAGTTTGACCACTCGTCTTATTCAAAAATTTTGTGCAAATATAGTCAAATTTAAGTCATTCTTGAAGAATTTTTATTAATAAACTAAACCACGATGAAAGAAGTGATATTTTACACAAATTTTTGAATAAGACGAGTGGTCAAAATTGGTGTCAAAAAAGTCAAACGTCTTATAATTTGAGGATGGATTTAGTATTTATTTATTGTTTTTTGTCCGTTAATTAATGCCCGTGTCCGATTCTTTTCTAACTTTGCATCTTCTATTGCATTAGATGTTTCTATTCACGTTTGTGTTCTTTTTGGTTGGGCGTTTGGTCAATTAATGTATGCCTTTTCTTTTCTTTCTATATGTGTTGTGTCCGGTTTCCTGTTGGCTTGGTTGTAGTGGTATTTTATCCGATTTCCACCATCCTCATAAGCAGTTAGAAAGGGCTAGAATCGAATTCTGTATCGCACTAGACAAGAGCTATTCTAACTTGTATTCTAAGTCCGGATGGAAGAAACTCTTCGTTGTCCGATAGTTAGAGAGAGACGGACAAAAAAAAAAGATGGACAAAAAAAATGACTAGAAAATTTACGTCTTTATTATTAGGTATAAATATAGATTATGTTTTAGTGCAATTATGGAGCGTAACGTGACAGGAAAATCTAAATGGTACCACATGAGTCATGGTATTTGTACAAATAAACAGAATCAAGTGACATGAACAAGATATTTCAAGCTAGGCACGGTAGCAAAGAGCATGATTTTAGAAAAATAAAATAAAACTAGTTTCATAATTTTTCAAGCTAAACCAAATTTTCTATGAATTTTCTAAGATTAAACTAGTTTTTGAGATTTTTAATTGTATTGTTTTTCATATAAAAATATATTTGCATAAATTATTTTATTTTTTAATGAATTTTGGATTTAAAAAAATAATTCTAGTCGGATTTACCTCGAACTTTCAACTTAGTTCAACTTATACAACCTCTAATGTGGCGCCCATCAGAAAAACCATCATCAAAACCGCTCAAGGTGCAAAAGCAAAATCATCTCACCCTCCTTGAAGGTGATGTCCTCGAACTCCTCCATGAGGCGCTGCACGTAGGCCGCCTTGAGTCCTTGACACGATGTGCTTCCTAGCCAGCGTTGACCACATCTCCAGCGGGACTCCTCGGACGTGAACTGTTTGCATAAGTTCAAATTCTTTGCTGGAGTGGTACACTCAAATAATTCGACAATGGCATCAGGATGCACATTTTCGTCCTTCGAGAGAAGAGCAGAAAAATACTCCGTCCCTAGCTGCTGCATCTCCTGCGGATTGGTGCACCAGCTCCCATTAGCTCTTGTCAGCTTCTTGATTTTGTTCTTTTTTTTCTCTCCAACCAATTTTTTTTTTGAATAACTTAGGTCCTGTTGTTTACTAGATCTCCACGAAATGATTCACTCTTTTTTTAGTAAACACGTTTGGCAAAATAGTAATATAGTAGAAGCGGGAGAAGCCACTTTTTTTTTGGCTCCATCCCAAAATCGCTTTTTTAGGGCTTCATCAATATTATTTCACTTTACCTTATTTGGTAAAAACGCTTCAATACAAATTAGAACTGCAAACGCATATACTTTCACACGATTAATAATTTGCATGTATCTAAATATTATCTTTAGAACTAGTTGTATATATTTCGGTTCTAATTTGCATGGATCTAAATGTTACTGTAGCGTTAGCACTGGCACTGTACTAATTCAGAAAATCCTCTAACCAAATATATATTAGCCCCTGTACCCAAAAACCCTACCCGGATTGATATACGCCACGCCCGGCGTCTTCTGCATCGTCGCCGACGAGGTTCCTGAGTTTTGCGGACCATGGCCGTGGCACAGCAGCACCGATTCGATGCTTGACAATAGCAGAGATCATCTCCGCGGCGCAGCAGCACCAATTCGATTACTTGACATTGACAATAGCAGAGGTCGAGGAGATGTAGGAGATCTGGCGGCACCGTGGCGCGATAATAGCAGAGGCCGAGGAGGTCCTGCGGGAGAAGAAGTCGTTGTGGAACATGGTGACCAGGCTGATTGTCATGTTCCTGGGCGTCTGCTTTATCATCCATGGCGCCATTACCTCCGGCCTCACCCGGACAAACCGGATCGCTATCGGCATCATCTCGTGCATGCTCTTCGTGATCGGTGTCGGCTTGATCTGCTGGGATGCGTATGTGCGCACGCAGATAGAGCACTTTTCTGGCGTTCACGCAGTCGGTGTCGGACGCCTTGGACTTGGAATCCGCCGGCCACTTAGCTGCCCCGACCATCAGCTAGATCCATCGCTTTATTAGGCCCCATTTGGCAGATCTCGTGCATGCTCTTCGTGATCGGTGTCGGCTTGATCTGCTGGGATGCGTATGTGCGCACGCAGATAGAGCACTTTTTTTCACGCAGTCGGTGTCGGACGCCTTGGACTTGAATCCGCCGGCCACTTAGCTGCCCCGACCATCAGCTAATCCATCGCTTTATTAGGCAATTTTGGCGAAACTAGCTTTATTTTTTTTTCTTCAAAAATAGACTTCCGTGGAGAAAAGCGGTTTATTAAACCGTTTGGTAAAATGCCCATGAGGTTTTTTTGCCGGGAGGAGCCAGGAGAAGCCACTTTTTTTTTCTCCATCCCACCCTAAATCATTGTGAGAGCATGTTTTTAGGAGCTTCACCAGTGAAGCTATTTCACTTTACCCCGTTTAGCAGAAAACGGCTCCAAACGACTTCTGAAGCTGGTGGAGAAACCCTGCCAAACGAGGCCTTAGTGTGTGTATATAGTACTATTCCAGAGAATTGACTGAATCCATGCATGTGTTTGTGATGGCAAGATCTTCGTGTTACTGACGCGTGATTCTACTCCTTATCTACAATTGTGGTACCTGCTATCCGGGGACACCGTCAGATTGATGTATATAAACAACAGACAATCTGATTCGCACGATTTCATGCTCGGTCGTTGCGACCAGTCACCAAAACGCTAAAAAAAACTCCTGAATAATCTATACAGATGTTTCGTTTCCCCTGTGGTTTTTCTACTACACATTCAGAATCGCTAAATCTCCAAACTGCAACTCAACTCTGTTACAACATCCACCCTGACACATCTATGCACGTTATCGTCCTAATTACTAATTACGCAATTACACAACAGGCTCACAGTTGCAGCACCGGGTTGCGGCGCAACGGATCAACAGCGACCAGACCCCCAATGTTGAGGTTGGTGGGTGCCAAGCCACTGGCAGGGTGTGGCCTAAGGCCATCCACCATCGTTGCTTGGAGCCCGCGACAGACTGGAAGCGGGCACAATCCAAATGTCATGCTGACAATGTAGATTCAATGTCTACTTGTTACTCAATCAGCCGTATGTGTCTGCATCTGATTCACCACCAGTTGAGCCGCACGTGGGAACATCATCGGTCCTGAAAACAGGCAGAAAGCTTTGAAGGGTCATGAACTTTGAACTAAAATGGGCATGAGAAACGGAACATTAACCATACAAGTGTATGTAGTTAAGAGTCTGCTTTAGCACCTGGAACGGCATTGAAACCATTCACAGTTTGCTGCATGGCCGGGTGTCCGTGAAGATTATTAGGGTTGCCCTTCATCTCAACTGCACGTTCACCTCGGTTTATCGAAATCTGTGGTACTGATCCACATTGCTGGCTTGCTAATGCTTCAGAATTCATCCTCTGCGCTGTGCTGGTAGAAGCATATGGCATAGCATGTGGTTGAGATCCCGCCGGATGGCTTATGTTGCCAGCACAGGCCTCTGTAGCAGGGGGGCCGTTCATAGATGGCTGCTCACCTGATGCTGCTATACTGCTTGGCGGTGTCATTGTTTCTAATGCAGCTAGTACGGGTGGCTGAAATGAGCTTAGTGTTTCACCATCTCCTACCCAGCCACGACCAAACTTTGTTCCAGGAGGAAGGCTCCGTTCAATTCGTCTTGATGCAATTTCCCAGCCAACAGGACCAAGTTGTGCAGCAAAACGTGCCAGGCTGCGGGAATAGGACTGCTGTAACTGAACCCCAACCTATAAAAAAACATTGTGTTAAAGTGTGGACGATCATGTCTTGCTGTTCTCTAATGTTAATAGGAGGCTGAAACTATATTAGTACAACACCAGTTACTTATAGGACAGAATTTGGATTGGACACTCAACTGGTACTAGCAGCTTCTTAGTCCCATTGTAGGAGGAGGATACCGGCAGCTCATAGATTGAACTGGATGGTTGAGTCTCATAATATGTGCTTCGGCGACTATCTTCCATCAGAATTGGCCTCTTCCCCATTTTTGCGGACCATGTACCCCCATAACCTGGAAGAAAAGAGCGACCGCAACAGAGGTTATAAGAAAATTGAGCTGATCAGATTGGATGCCTAGTCCTTTGTTCAGTTAGTATTAAATGTTTACCCTACAAAAGACTCTTTTTGAAAGAACGAGAAAAAAAAAGAGATAGGTTAAAACCTGAGTAATCTTCAATTCTTTCGAATTTCCGCTCGCCAGACCAGTTGTGTTCATTCCTTCGATTGACAAAAGAAGCTCTCAACACATCTGCAATCATCGCTTTATCCATTACTCTTCGTGACAGATCAACATCTGCCTGTGCATGGCGTCCAATATTTGCCACAGTAGCAAGTGTTGCACCAGAAAAGTCTGCAGTAGCACGTTCTGCTGGTGGCTTCCCAACTTTCTGTTTGGCATTGTTCTTGTTTGGAGGCCTGCCCCTGCGAGGCTGTGGTTTTGGTTCTTCTGGTTCTGGCTCCGGCTCGGGTTCTGGTTCAGGTTCTGGTTCACTGGCATCACTATCTTGCCTAAGATTCTCAAAATCCTTTTTAGCAATCTCTTGAATACCTCGTGCCTGTTATGCATGGCATATGGATGTTAAATACACCATATTTCATAATTATATTCAAAGATCATAACATGTAGGTTTAACGTTTGACCTGTCGATAGTATATTGTATCTGGTGAATTGTAGCACATCGCGTTGGAGCTTATCAGGAACACATCATCCTGTAAATTGAAATTTCAATCAAGTTGAATGAGCTTGATAAAACGTCAGTAGCATTCTGAGGCCAGGAAAGAAATAGTACTTTGCAGCAGAACTGCAAGGAATAATAAAAGCAATACCAAATATTCAAATTCGTTCCAGAAAAAATGTGACATTCTCTAGCATGACTGCCCGAGTAAGGCGTAATGCTTTCAGCAAGCATGAGAATACACATGGTACAGCGCAGTTTTGGTTAAGCAGTAGCACACCAGTACTCAAATGTGCGCTGGCTAGCAAATTCATTCTTAAGAGATGTTCAGCAAAGATGTTTGAACACAGAAGATTATGGGATAAAAATGGCTTGCGTTAATGATGTTCCATGCAATGCAACACAGTCGAATGAGTGGCGAAAATGCAAGTTGGCAAATCCATGATGTTATAGCAGTATATACACATCAGATACTTATCAAGTAGCAAGTCAGCATTAGAAGTAAATTCATTAGCCAAAAGCTGCAAAATGGTGACCCAAAGCATAGTGTCCTGTTCAGGCATTACAAAGGTATCATATCATTTTACCAAATGCCTGCCTCATCTTTCAAACAACACATAATTCCAACTTAGGTCCAACATACTTAATACTCCCTCTTTCAAATTATAAGTCATTCCAAGAATCTTAGAGAGTCAAACCATCTCAAATTTGACCAAATTTATATGATAGGAATAATAACATTTATGATGTCAAATAAGTATCATTAGATCCTTCATTGATTATATTTTCATAGTACACCTATTTGATGTCATAAATCTTTATAATTCTCTCTATAATTTTGGTCAAACTTGAGATGCTTTGACTCTCTAAGATTCTTATAATGACTTATAATTTGGAATGGAGGGAGTAATAACTAATGAAATAGCAACTGAGGTACAGCTTGAATATGATTTGCCAACATAAACAAGGCAAGTGGACTCTGAGTTTTTGTAGAGCAAACATCTATAATTATCTAATATACCACCTTCCAAAGTACGGCATGAATGACTTGCAAAAGGGAAGGATGTATGCTATTTAGAGTGTTCCTTTATTCAAATAACGAGCTTTCTCAATTGAAAGCATCCTATCAAAAGTAACATAGGCAGCACCAAGCACAGTGCTTGTGTAACTTTTTACACATCTAGAACTTTAAATCCCTAGGTGATATTTGAACTTAACGCAATATATGGTGTACGAGTCCATCCCCGTCTTGTCATGTACTTCCAAAAATGCATCAAGACACCTCTTCTAAAGAGATAAGGACATTTCATCTTTTCTAACAGCGTTGTCGGGGACTAATACTAGGGTACCGGAAGAGGAGGAGCTAATGACCATCAACATTGATTCATCCGAGCAGTCAAGAGCGCGACTACAGCTCCGACCGACCCCCAGGCACGCAAGCTCCGCCTCGCTTGCGCTCCACCTCGCCCGGCCTCTGAGAGAGGGCTCCGCCTCGCCCTACCCCGAGGCCGCGGGCTCCGCCTCACCCGACCCTTGGGTTTGCGCTCCGCATCGCCCGGCCTCTGGGGAGGACTCACCTTCAGACCTCGAGGCCATGGGCTCCGCCTCGCCCGCCTGGGGGAGGACTCCGCCGCCTTCCCCAGGCCATGGGCTCCGCCTCCCTTGGTTTGCGCGCCTCGCCTCGCCTCTCTGGGGGGCTTGCCCGCCCGACCAGGGTCATGCGGGCTCCGCCTCATGACGGGAGACCCATACCGCCGCCAACCACTCCAGGTCCGTATGGGCCTGAGTCAAAGCTCTGACACCAGGGAAGACACCGGCACGCCCCGATATAACCCGTGGCCATGACGAGCCATACCTAAGGATTCACATCAGGAACAGCGTCGGGCGTACTAGTCCTGTTCTGCCTAACCCCCGTACGAACACTGATAGGCTGCGTCAGTTCACCACGACGTCCGCCAGGACGGAGTGAAGCACCATGACCGGCAGACGACGCTGCGCATGGCGCCAGTGACGGACATGGCCGCGACGTGGAGCTGTCCCTGTTGACGTCTACAGGGTCGGCGGGACCCACATGAAGGAGAAGGATCCGGCGATCCTGAAGGACTTCTCTCTCTCGTTCTCTCTTCCTCCGCTGTAACCCGCGCTTTCCCTTGGCCGATAAAAGGGAAAGTAGGGCGTCCCATGAGGGGGATCTGACCAACGATCCATCGGATTCAAGCCAGACCATCTGATCACGAACTGATCGGATCGAATCACCCCGAACCGATCAGAACACGATACGAGCACTCGGCTGAGCAGCAACTGAGCTCTCAGCACCCGTTCATTCCTTTCACCAGAGACTTGGGGATCCTTTCTCTCTCTCGCCCGTTTGTAACCCTTACTATAAATTTTCAGTGCCAGTAACACGAGCAATAGCGACGAACTGGACGTAGGGACATTCTGCCTAAACCAATATAAACCTCGTGTCCTCTTAGCACACCATCCGGGCCAGACGCGCAATATTAGAAATTTAATTGGTGGTGGTAACTCGAAACACCGACAAGCGTGTTAACCATCTTTACCATAATAAAAAAACCCTACTGCATTTACAAGATTACATTGTATAATGTGCACTTCTTGTGCTCAGTATTTTCAAACAGAATACTGCACGTCTGCACTTTCTTGCCTAGTTATATGTCTAGAACCATATATTAGTGTTCTCTTAGCAAGTTTCTAGTGTGAAGGGCGGGTCTGGTGCAAGCGGTAGAGTCTTACCGCCTGTGACCGGAAGGTCCCGGGTTCGAGTCACGGTCTCCTTGCATTGCACAGGCGAGGGTAAGGCTTGCCACTAACACCCTTCCCCACACCCCGCACAGAGCGGGAGCTCTCTGCACTGGGTACGCCCTTTAGCAAGTTTCTAGTGCGTAAACTTGCAAGAGAACATTGATATCAGAGCTGCCTTAGATGATCTCGTGCAAGTACAATAGGTGGTCAAATGACATACATCAGTGTTCTCTTAGCAAGTTTCTAATGTGTAAAATCTTCTGTTATTGACCATGCTGTTAAGTTCGCAATCCTACATTGCATCAAACAAAAATTAACATAGGATACATCAGCAGAATAAATGTAACTATACATATATATAATTTAAACTCAGCCAGATAGTTGAAAAGCAGAAACCAGAGAAATCATGCCCGAGAAAAGTTAGGGCCCATAACACAATCACAAAAGAAAAAAAACAGGAAGATAATAGGTTGTCTGCTAACCTAGTACAGTTCTGTCTCAGTCTATATCAGATGTTAATCTCAATGCTTAAACTGCCGAAAAACAAGTATACATACACCGCAGAATCTCGAACAAGAAACAGGTTGATAGGATTTGATGCCCTACCGGAGTTGCTGCGCAGGTTATAGGGGTGGAAGAGGGAAGGACGTGGTCTGTACTCTCGATGTCGGCGAGGGACCGTGGCGGCGAGAGTGCGGCGGCTGCTGCGGCAGCCCTAGAGTACCCGTGGTGCTACAGTAACGAGGGTACTGTTCGCGCGAGGGAGAGAGGGCAGGGATGGCTGGCTCCCTAGGGAAGCCAGCAACTTAATTGTTGCTTTCTGTTTAATTCCAATCATCCCAGATTACAAGTATTTATCCTTCCTTATAGAATTAAGGAACTATATCTATCTTTAAGAAAATACCAAATAAGCGATAAATTGGGCCTCTAAGCCCCTTAACAGACCGGCCCCCTAGCCACTATTGGGCCTGCGCCTGGCATAGGGGATGCCGGTGATAACATCTCTCCCCGCCTGCGCAAACAGCTCGTCCTCGAGCTGGAAGTCGGGGTAGACGTCGCGAAGATGCTGGAGAGGCTCCCATGTTGCGTCCTCCGCTGGCAGGACGCGCCATTTGACAAGCACATGCCACACGTCTCGCCGAAGTTGTGCACGAAGGGCACGCTCCGGAGCTGGCAATAGCCGGCCATCCGATGTCGGCGGCAGAGGAGCAGGAGCCGCTGGGGGATCACCTTTGTGGGGTTTCAGCAGCCCCACATGGAAGACATCATGCAGACGGGCACCCTCTGGAAGCTGGAGGCGGTATGCCACCTGGCCGATGCGCTCCAGCACTTGGAACGGACCGGCGTAGCGGGGGCCAAGCTTCCCTTTGGCGCGGGGCTCGAGGGATTGGGCAGCGCGGTGGAGCAGGCGCAACCATACCCAATCCCCGACGGCAAACTCTCGGTCGCGGTGGGACGCGTCGTAGTATTTCTTGGACAACTGCTGTGCTTGGAGAAGCCTTTCCCGAATCTCCGCGAGCACCTCGTCGCGCTCCCGAAGAAGGTCGTCCACCGTGTCCGTTCTGGCCAACCCGGCCGTGTAGGACAAGATGGCCGAGGGTGGCCAGCCGTAGACCACCTCAAAAGGTGTGGCGCGCAGTGCCGTGTGGAAGGAGGTATTGTAGCAGTACTCCGCCCAGGGCAGCCAGTCCACCCACGCTCGCGGCCGGTCACCTGTGACACACCGAAGATACATTGCGATGACCTTATTGACCACCTCAGACTGACCGTCTGTCTGCGGGTGGAAGGCCGTGCTCATGCGGAGCGTGACGCCGGCCATCTTGAAGAGGTCACGCCACACGTGACCAGTGAAAACCGGGTCCCTGTCGCTGACGATGGAAGAAGGGAACCCATGGGAACCCATGCAAACGAACAATGCCGTCGAAGAATGCACGTGCAACCGAAGCGGCGGAGTATGGATGGCCGAGGGCGATGAAGTGCGCGTACTTGGAGAATCTGTCGACCACCGTGAGAATGACGGATTTTCCGCCGACCTTGGGTCAGGCCCTCGATAAAATCCATCGAGATGTCCGCCCAAACCTAGGATGGAACGTCGAGGGGCTGCAATAATCCGGTGGGCTGCAGAGACTCCGTCTTGTTCCGCTGACACACGGTGCACGTCCGCACGAAGTCTTTGACAAGAGCGCGGTCGCCGGGGATATAGAAGTCCGAGCGCAGGCGATGGAGCGTCTTCTGGACTCCCTCGTGGCCCGCCGAGTGAGCCAGGAGGAGCACCTGATGGCGCAGGTCATCATAAGCTGGCACGAATATGCGAGAACCGTGGAGCAGGAGACCATCGTCGACGCCGCCAAAGGTGCGCCGGCCAGCGCCTTCCCGGAGGCACACCGAAGGAGAAGCCGAGCATCCCGGTTCTTTCGCCAGTAGCCGCGCGGATGTCGTCGAGGAGGGCGAATGTCGGCGTGGATGCAAGTGCACAACCGCCCGGCAAAGATCGTTTGTCGACGGCGTCGCGGCGGGACAGAGCATCCGCCACGGTGTTAAGCCGTCCGGGGCAATATTCCACGGCGAAGTCGAACCCAAACAGCTTACTTCGATCCATTGGTGCTGCGGCACGGTGGAGAAAGCGTTAGTCCAAGAAGAACTTGAGGTCAGAATGATCCGTGCGGACCAAAAAGTGACGCCCCACGGTATGGCCGCCAGCGATGGCGACGGCTGGACGAGCCCGATCGACTCGTTCATAAGCCGCGAGCTTGAGATGACGTGCGTGAACGGCCGGTGAAGAAGCGAAAGCGGTCGGTCGTCTGGTGGAGAACCGCGCCCGAACTCGGCGCCGGACGCATCATCCACCGATCCACGGTGAATCGCTGCGAAGTCGGGCATCTGAGTACGGGGCTCGTAGACGAGCCCACTTGAGCGCTGAACGCCGTGTCCGCCTCATCGGACCAAGAGAATGCATCCTTGCGCAGAGGCGAAGTCGCCGCTGCGCGATGACGCCAAGTCGCGGATGTACTTCCGATAGTAGCCGGCGAGGCCTGTGAAGCCACGCGCGAGCCACGGGCGATCGTAAGTCGCCACGACGCCACAAATACCACCTTGTCGGCGTCCGTGGCGACACCGCCATTGAAAATCACATGGCCGAGGTACGCCATCGAGGAGGCCCCAAATGAGCATTTGGAGCGCTTGAGGTGGAGCTGTGCGCGCCGTGTGCGCGTCGAGGACGATGCTGATGTGTTGCAAGTGCTCTGCCCATGAAGAGCTAAAAATGAGGATGTCGTCGAAGAACACCATCACAAACCTGCAGAGGAAGGGGCGAAGCACGTCGTTCATCAGGGCCTGGAACGTTGCCGGAGCGTTGGAGAGGCCGAATGGCATCACCAGAAACTCGAAGTGCCCGTGGTGTGTGCGGAACGTTGTTTTGGCGACGTCGTCAGGATGCATCCGCACCTGATGGTAGCCCGAGCGCAAGTCGAGCTTGGTGAAAAACCTGGTGCCATGCAGTTCGTCGAGGAGCTCATCAACCACCGGGATCGGGAACTTGTCTTTAGATGTCTTGGCGTTGAGCGCGCGCGGTAGTCGATCAGAACGCCAGAGTTATCCGCCTTGGCGCACTAACAAAGACGGGCGGAGAACGGGGCGTGCTTCGGTCTAATGATGCCTTGGGCGAGCAGCATGGTCACTGCTGTGTTCCGGCTCGTCCTTCAGAGTGGGGGTAGCGGTAGGGACGAACCGCGACCGGTCTTGTGCCCGGAAGCGTGGATCACGGTGATCATATGGCGGTGCGGTGGCGGCCCTCGCGTTCGTCAAGACCGCCCGAATCGGTGGAGGCGGCGGTCTAGCGGGGTCGTGGGGGGGCAGCCGTGACCGCCCTCGTGGTCGGCTCCCGAATGTCGTCGCGGGAGAGCCAATGCCCTTCCACGTATCACGCCGACCGCCATGCGGTGAATGCCATGCACAGATCCTCGAAGTCCCAGAGAATAGGACCCAAGGTGCGGAGGTACTCGGCGCCGAGGATGAGATCGAACCCCCCGAGATTGATGCCGAAGCAGCTGATGGTAAACTCCTCCCCACCAATGGCGAGAGCGACGTCATGGGCGACCCCTTCGCAGGGCACACGGTCCCCATTAGCCACCAACACCCGCATGGAAGGATGAGGCGCGGTGGAGAGGCGTAGGCGGCGCATGAGGTCGGCGTTGATGAAGTTGTGCGTCGAGCCCGAGTCGAGGAGCGCCACGAGACGATGGCCATGAACATGGACCGGGAGGAGCATGGCATTCTCAGTCCGAATGCCAGTGATGGCATACAGGGAGACGGTGGGCTGGGCTGCGGGCTCCTGGACGGCGGCAAGAACAACCTCCTGGGGTGTGGCATCCTCCTGGAAGGCTGCTACCGCAGCCACCTCCACGAGAACCTCGTCGTCGAGAAAATCCGTGGACTCCGGTAAAAGAGCCGTGGACACACATGGCCGCGCACATACGGCTCGTCGCAGTTATAGCAGAGACCCTGGCGGCGACGCTCCAATTGCAGTGGCATCCTCCTGGAACAGCAGCCGCGCCGGGAGCTACCGGAGGGGGCGCCAGGGGTCGAGGGGGCACTGGAAGACCTGGCCGCTGGGGTGGCCGGGCGCCACGCTGTCCTGTGGCCAGCATAGTGGCGTTAGCCCGGCGCTCGAACGCCCGGGCCAGATGCATGGCCGTCTGAAGGTCCTGGGGCTCCCGAAGCTCCACATCGACTTTGATATGCTCCGGGAGGCCGCCCACAAACAACTCAGCCTTCTGCGGGGCTGAGAGATTGCGGGCATGGCAGAGCACGGCGTTGAAGCGAGCCGAGTAGTCCTGCACCGTGGAGGTGAACGGAAGGCGGGCGAGTTCGGACAGTCGGGTGTTACGAACCGCCGGCCCGAACTGCAGATTGCACAGCTCCTTGAAACGGTCCCAGGTGGGCATGCCCTCATCCTGCTCCAAGGCGTAATACCATGTCTGTGCCGCACCAGTCAGATGATAGGACGCGAGCCAGGTGCGATCTGAGGCGAGGGTACGCTGCCCTCGGAAAAATTGCTCACAGTGATTGAGCCAATTCAGGGGGTCCTCGGAGCCGTCGTAGGTCGTAAACTCGAGCTTGTAGAAACGCGGAGGGTGAGCACCCTGAGGGGCCCCATGCGCGCCCTGGACGAAGGGCTCCGGAACACTGCCTGTGGACGGGGAGGCACTCACACCTAGGTGCCCAGGTCCGTAGAAGAGGGGGCCGTCGGAACCCCCATAGAAAAAGCCATCGGCCTAGGGTCCCCCGTGGAAGACCACAGCGGCGGTAGTGGGCGGTGGCACTACTGATGTCGCAGCCGGAGAGGTCGCCATGGTGTACACCGGGCTGGTCGTCGAGGCTAAAGCCCACGATGGAATCGGCGAAGGGGAAGGCGGCATCCGGAGGAGATGGATGGGAACGCCCGTCGTGCTGGAGTAGGGCATCCCATACGGCAGCACCGCTGGCAGGGTGGTCGCAGCCGGTTGCGGCGGCGGCGACGGCAGCGGCGGTGGCGCGCCGGCCAGGTAGGACTGGATGGCAGCCACCGAGCGAGTCAGCTCCCCGATGGCGGCAGCCACCTGATCCGGCGTCATCTGTGCCGCATGCTTCATCTGGGCCGCGGGCGCGGAGGCAGGTGGCAGCGGCGAGGTGCTGACCACCCACGGCGGCAGCGTTGGTGGGATTAAGGCGGACATCTCTAATACCAAAGTTGATAGGACTTGATGCCCTAGATTGTTGGTTATAGGGGTTAAGGGAAGGACATGGTGCATCTCTCTCGATACCAGGTTGATAGGACTTGATTACCCCCCTGCTACAAAGAGTTACTGCTCATGAGGGGAGGGAGGGGGTGGAAGGCTCCCAAGGAAGCATGAACAACAATTGTTGCTGTAATTCTCATCCCAGTTACAAGTATTTATCCTTCCCTATAGATGCTATAATTAAGGAACTATATCTATCTCTAAGAAAATACCAAATAAGCCTCTAGATTACCCGTAGTGCTATGCAGGGGGATGCCGGTCATTCCCTATTCCTTCAAGCTACTGGGTTTATATGCCTAAGTAGAGCAACTCAATAGTCAATAGAAACAATCTTGGATAGGTCACTGAATGCAAACATAGCATTGGACAAACTTTTTGCTAGTAAAAATGCTCTTATGGAACCAATAAAATAGATCCTAGGCGTAAGTGCTTCACTCGAACAAGAACATTACCAGACTAAACTTGATTTAAAATTTACATTTCTAAACTAATTGTTAAGAGAATTTATGTGATAAAATATACATGTTCTACCAATCTCGAAAGTGATTATATTGCCAAGAAAAATCAAGTCTGGAGTTATCGGATTCAGTACACATGGAACACCATCAGAGACAATAGCTAACAGGAAAACCCAGATGTCCATGAGACTAAACATCAGCTCCTAAAACATGCAACCAGGGTAGAGGCGTAGAGCAAGAGGTCCCAGTGGCAAACAGTTTCTGACCAAGCTTTGAATAAAGGACAACAGTGTATTACTAGCTATTACCAAGCAAACAGCCACAATTTGCTAGCCGATTGAAGGAAAATCCAATAAAAAAAAAGATCAATCTAAACAGATCCTGTAACCCACCTCAAATTGCTCCAAGTTGGAATAGGCCCCCTTGTTGAGCTTCTTTCGTATTGTCGAAAAATCCATTGGATGCTTTATAATGTCATGATAGTCAGGTAGCTGGCCACAATTGGACATGAACAGATAAATCAGCAGTTCTGATAATCGAAACAAAGAAAACAAACATATAGCATCATCAAAACAAACCTCTTCGGGATCAACAGGCTCTGAAAATACACCATACGTATCCTTCCTGCAAGAAACCAGGAGTCCATGAGACACAAAGATGAGAGGTCCTGGAACTGAGAATGGGAAGCTGAAGGAAGAACACGTAAAGAACACAGCAACTCACTTCTGTAGCCTGTCGAGGATGAAGAGCAACAACTTTTTGTTAGGCAAAGGTGTTGTGGGACCGGAATCTGACGACTCTGTCGAATGAACAAATCCAAGCCATGAGCACAGGGCAAACAGAGGCACAAGCATTAATTAAAGACGAGAAAACTGGAATGCATCCAACAGTAACAGAATTTAAAAATGGCATCTTTGTGCACATTTGTCCAGGTATATTTTTTTTTGCCTGCGGAAATTTGAAGTGTAAATGCCACAGAGCAAGGAGCACCAACCTTCACGCCCATCCGTCGCTTTCCTCGTCTTTTCTCCCTGCGGCAGCAGCGGTTAAGATAAAAAAAAATTAAAACAGAAAATACGAAATTAAAATCTTTACGAGCATTGAAAACCTCCCTGGAGTAGGAAAAAAAGCAGCAGAAAAGGTGGGGTACGATTTCGTTTACCAGGGCCAGTTACCAACTACAGATATCTAAGGAGAGCGCGCTAATGCGGTGGAATTTGTCGCGAGAGCTCACAAAAACCAAACCCGAAAAGCGCACGCCTTTAAAAGCTCAGAGCTGGGGCGTTTAAAAAAATTGCGCCAATTATTGCCACGACAAGCCGATGAGACTATGTGAGGGTTTAGGATTATCCCAAATTATACTTGGCCAAACGGGCGCCCAAGACGCATCAAGCAGCGCACGCGCACGACGCACACTACGCTGCACGGCTAACAACATACCGTGTCGTGTCGAAATCATCGCCTGCAGCATGGCACTATGATGCCTTAGGCATGCCGTGCCGTGCATCACACGACGGCACAAGCAGCGTTCGCAGCTTGCAAGACGGGCACTATAAGTGCCTGACACCTCAATGAACTTAGAACAACAAGAGGAAGAACATATACTTCACAAGATATGTCAATTTATTCATAGTTGAGATCAAACTTACATTCAAAATCAGATAACTTCACATAATCACATCTCACAAATTGACAAATGACACAAAGTCACAAACACGGGAAGCGATAACAAAATAACAATTTATTAAGAGCTTTAGTGCCTCTCTTCGTTGGCGCCGACCTCAACCGTTTCGTCGTCGGAGCCAGCCATCGTCACTCGCCGGTGTCCCGATTCCTCAACAGCTTCACAAAAACAGCGAGTCAGTACAGATCTAGGGCTAGGGTTAGCCAGTTAGGGTTAGGGTTAGGGTTAGGGTTACCTTCGCAGCCGGAGCACCAGAATCGCTCGGCGACGTCGACGAAACACAGATCCGACCCCCTGGTTCCTCAACGGATTCGAATCCAGAGCACCAGAGCAGCCGACATCCGGTGAGGTCGACGGAGACGACGACGAGGACGACAAGGAGAGGACGAGGCTACATCGACGATGCGAGATCAAGAAGAGGGGTGTACTATGCCGTGCCATGTGCCAGTGCCGGCCACCGGTGGCTCAAGAGGCCACCGGAGGGGGAGAAGAAGAGAGGAGTGGAGAGTCGTCGTCGTAGCGGATAGAAGAGAGAGCGAGACAGGAGAGAGAGAGCGGCGATGAAAATGAATTAGGGTTAGGGTGGGATATTCCCCAGGGGGAGACGGTTTATATAGCCCTCCCCCTCCAACAGGCAAATCCAACGGTCGGATGGAGCGGGGGAGGGGGATCCAACGGCTTTAAGGGGAGGAGTGCGGGCTGACTTAGCGTGCGGGCCGACACCGCAGGTGACTTAGCGCCCAGCACTCACTACGCAAGATGCTAATCTGGGCTAGGGCCGGGCTCGAGCCGTCTTGTGCTCAGGCCCACCCATCGTGTTAGTGCCAAATGGAAAAATATATCCCAAATGATTGGGAGAACTCTTGCCTCTGAGCGGAGCGGAGTTGACCATCACACATCAGGCAATATATATGCCATGCACCCGAGCCACGGCCCGGCCCAAGGCCCGCTTTTTTTTGGCCTCCCCAAGCACGGCCCGGCCCGAGAGGAGCCGTGTGCTGGCCTTACCTGAGCATCGTGGGACGCACATCGGCACACTCTGAACCGGAGGCCTGTTAGCCCCCAATACCACCCGGCCCCCCCCTCTCGGATCAAGGCGCCTCTCTCCTCACTCACATGCCGTCGATCTCTCCTCCTCCACTCTCTCCTCCTTGGCCCTCCACTCCACCAAGGATGGCAACGTGCGGTTTGTTTTGCCGGATATTCGCGGGTTTCGGGTCTTGCGGGTTCGGGTTCGGGGATGATTTCTCACCCACGGTTTTGGGTTGGGGCCCCAAACCAATCGAGTTGATTTTCGGGTTTGGTTTTCCACCGTGGATATCCAATAGATATCCAAATAAATCATTTGGAATTAAAACTCATGTTTTATAATATGCTAATAATAACTTGTTTACTTATATTATTAAATTTATTCTAAGTTGACTCATGAAAATATTTATTATTTGTTGCCTCTCGTTTATACATGTGAATATGTGTATATATATCATGCATATGTTTATAGAAAGTCCTTATTTCTCTTACTATGTTGTCATACAAAGCGGGTTTCGGGTATCCATTCGGGTTTCGGGTATCCGTGGGTTCGGTTTTGGGGACGGATTATCACCCGAATCGGTGTTCGGTGCGGTTTTGGGTTTCGATTTCGGGTTTCGGGTTCGGGTGTACAGAGACTCCATCCGATCTGAATCCGCCCCGTTGCCATCCCTACCCTCCTCTCCACTCTCTCCCTACAAGAACAACAACAACTCTCCTCCCTCTCGCATGCCCCTACTCCTGGCCCCTCATGGAGTGGAGCTTCACGTCCCCTGGAGCTTCTTGCCCTCCGCAGCTGGCGCTCTCGAGGAGGCGGGATCCGGCTCTCCCTGCAGCCGTGATGCTCCCTAAAGCGGCCACGGCAAGATCCGGCCTGAGGAGGTGGCGGCACGGAGCAGGGCAGCTCTCTCCGGCGCGGACGTCTCCGGGCAGGGGCGGTCGCGGATCTAGCGTGGGACGGCGCGGATCTCCTCCTCCGTGGCGGATCCGCTCCCCGCGTCCTCCCTCCCTCCCTTCTCCGGCGGATCCAGTGAACAGCGGCGGCAGATCCAGCACCGGTGCAACGGATCCGGCGAGTGGCGAGCACGCTGGCCTCCTCCGGATTCGGCGACGATCTCCTCGGCGGCGAGCATGTCGACCCCCTACACCTCTCGAGCGGCGTCGCCCTTCCCCTCTCTCTCTCTGTCGGCAGCCAGTGGGCCTCGGGCTGGCACGGCCTGTGAAATTGGCCGTGCTTCTCGGGCCGGCCCGACACGAAAATCGGCCCATAGTGCCGTGCCTGGGCCGGAGGCCAGGCCCGTGGCCTTGTGAGGCACGTCGTGCCGTGCCGGCCCGACCCCCGTCGGGCCGTGCTTTCACGGGCCCATGCCGTGCCGGGCCGGCCCGCCCGTTGGCCATCTATAACTGTGCCCATCGCTACGGAGATAAATAAATAAATGCAGCCTTTACATGCCAAAAATAGCAAAGAAAATTCCTCCGGCGGCGCGTGGCTGCGCAGGTCCGTACGCGGCCCGGGGCCAGGGCGCCCAAATTAGGCAAATTCCGCGCGGGATCGACAGAATTGGGTCGGATTCGGCTCAGATCGAGGGAGGGGAGGGGGGAGAGGGGCGCCCACCTTGGCTGATCCGTCGTGGAGGCCCATGACGAGGCGCAGCTTCTTCTCGCGGCGGCCGGAGCCGGAGGCAGGCCCGTCGTCGTCCTCGTCCGCGGAGGCGGCGCCCCGGCGGTTGGCGCGTCGCCCCTGGGGCTGCTTCTGCTGCTCCTGGAGCTGCTGTTCGAGGCGGAGGCTCCGCTTCTGGAGGTCGAGGAGGGACGGGCGGCCCTTCTTCTTCCGGCGCTTCGGCGGCGGAGGCGCCGACATCGCCGGGGACCGCCGCGCCGGTGGCGCCTGCTGCTGCTTGCCCATTCCCCGTCGGCGTTCTTTTCCTTTATTTTCTCCTTTTGGCCCCCCTGTTTTTGTGAGGGGGCGTCGTTGCGTTGCGTGTTGGGGGGCGTGAGCCGAGCGAGCAGGGGAGGTGGGTGGACTTTTCGGTGGGTTTTCTCCCTCTTTTTCTTGGGACGTTTCGAGTGCGGGCACGTGGAGGTGTGGTGTGTACAGCTTCACTGGTGTGGCCGATGTCTCTTGCGTGAGCGGCTGAACCGCGTAGTGTGTGTTCCGATCTGTTGAGTCGATCAGAGCGTGACAGCATGGACGTCGATTGTGCAGCACCAGGGATCTTAGTTTCCAGCATATTTCGCTACGAAAGCAAGACACCTGGCCTCTGGTGCCGTAAGAATCTCGATTCTATCCATTCAATATTATATGGCTTTCCAATTTTAGCCATATAGAAACTATTTTAGCTAGTCCTATGATCCTCTGAGGTGCACCGAAGCACGAGAATTCCCGCGTGATTTAGGATTTACGATCTTATCGATTGTGATTTTTACAAATCTTTCAATGTATCATAATGAATCCTAAATCTCAAAATGTAAGTGATGTGATACTATTCTATGTCCACCAATCTACAAGAAAAATGATACCATAGCACATTTGAAAATACAGGATGGCAGCAGAATAATAGATGTAGACCTTGTCGTCCTAGACTGGGGAAGGATGACCATTCCAGGGTGCTCAGTGTTGAGAAAGAATCGCTATATCTAGGTAATGCAGTCCTGTCACTCAAGAGATGTGAACGGAATTAAAGTTTCCATGCTTTTGCTAGTTACCTAGGTATAAGCCAAGCGAGGGAAGTGGATGAAAGACGAGCGGATAGTGCCTTCTTTAATTTATGTATGTGCTAATAATCCATCTATGCACGGGATGTGATTGACTGATTGTGAATATGTTTTTTTATGCTAGAAATGGTATGAGGCAGGAGCGAAACTGTGGAGATATGAACCTCTATAACATAAGACATGGGCCGCATCATCAGAGGTGGCCTAGCCCATAAGATCAAGATGTGCACGACACTGATCGACGTGCACCGCAAGATATTATATAGTACTAAATAGGATATTTTCTCTGTAATCCTATCCCTCCAGAGTATATAAGGAAAGACAGGATCCCCTAGTCGACGTCCTCATACAGATCCTAGTCCTAGCCCAAGACATCTACATACATCTCATATTCAATACAATACACCAAAGACACAGAACGTAGGGTATTACGTCGATCAGACGGCACGAACTTGTTTAAATCGTTGTCTCTACGTCTTGTGTCACCATCCGGTTCCTATCACGCGCATCTTCATCGATCAATTTACCTTCGTGGGATACCCCTTGGAGGATTGCCGATCATCTTTTGTCGATAGTTGACGTTCACCACGGGGCTCATGCGTGCTGATCCTTGACGAACCAGATGGTGTAACTCAAGATCAACATCATTCGTGGCAATTCGGCTGATCGCGTCGACATCCTTCGACAAACCACGGCGCACGTCTTCGTACGCGGATTGACACCGCCAAGTTCTGACTACGTCCGTCCTACTCCAATATGAGATCAACTTCGTTCCAGCTGTCAAGCGAGCCGCTAAGCGAGCTGCCCGCGTCGCCAACCAGATAGCGCCATACGTCACCAACCAGACATTATGTCTAAAGCTAAGTCACGTTTTAATATTTTTCTAAATATTATCCAATCTTCGTATATCGCCATAATGTTTCTCCGAACTATTTTCTCCATGTTTGTTCTCCAAACGATTTTCTTTTATGCATACCATCTTAAAGATGACATACAACTAAGCATAAGGCGAACCCCTGAGCAGTCATGTTGACGCTCGGATGTCCCCAGAGACGGCCCTATCTCTGGTTTCTCCCTACACGTGCACGAGCGTCTACCCTCTGTGTTATGGGTGGTTGGCAGTGGCTCCTTAGCGACGCTTTGTTCTTCCTACACGCACACGGGCTCCGCGCTCCGCGTTATGGTTAACGGGCTAGCTAGGGCTGGAGACTCAGCTACACTCTAACTGGTCGGACGGTTTATATTAAATATAAATACATCTTCAGAATAACACTAAGCGTTCACACCAACTGATCGTCGAGCTTCATACGCTATTTCATCACTATTGCTGATTCTTCTATGGAGTTCATATATTTTTACATCATGTACTACCCATTCTACATATTTGTATTGTAGGATCATCGTCCAGGTGATCGGACCACCTGGTGCTCGGACTTCTCCAATGATCAACTAGTCGAACCGCTAGGTTCATGGACTTCATCGTCGACCAGTTGATCGAACTCTTCGCCGATCGCTTCTACTCAATGCTCACTTCGCCACCGACCAGTTGATCAAACTGTTCGTCGCTCGTGCTTTATCACCAGCTGCGCCGGGGACTCCTCGGTGCTCGGACGTCGCCTGCTACGCCGGAGACTCCTCGGTGCTCGGACGTCGCCAGCTACGCTGGGGACTTCTCGGTGTTCGGATTCTTCGAGCAAACATCGCCAGCTAAGCTGAGGACTCTCTTGGTGGTCGGATCTTGCTACGTCTTATCGGTGTGCTATCAAGTTGCTCCATGCTGTTCAGATCAGGGTGCTGATCTTGGGCAGCACGTCTGGGGTCTTGATACGCGCATGTCAGATAACGTCGGCAAGCTTTCAAACTTCTTTTCTTTGACCCTACTATAACATTAATTCTTTATCTTCAGCAGGCTCGGGGACTAAGTGGCTACACTTCACCTAGCGATGAATGTAGTGCTTATTTTTGATTTACCCTCTTATTGACGGAGTCTAAGTGGCTACACTTTTCCTAAGTGGAATAATTTCTAGATTTTGAACTTGAGCTCCTTACATCTTTATGGCAAGCCTTACTTGGGACACACTGCTCGGCGACGGTTCACAGCTGCTCGGCGATGGTTCACAGCTACTCGGCAACTCATCATGATGGTCGGACTATAAGTTTGACTGCTCGGCTTTGTTCGCACCTGCTAGGACAAAGCTCAAGACGGCGTTGCATAACGGATACAAGGCGCTCGGGGACTAACTGTAAGAGATATGACCCCCGGTATCCATAAGACAAGACATGGGGCGCACCATTAGAGGTGGCCCAATCCATAAGATCAAGGCGTGCACGGCATCGATCGACGTGCACCACAAGATATTGTATAGTTCAAATGGGATATTTTTCTTGTAACTCTACCCCTCCAGAGTATATAAGGAGAGACAGGGGTCCCATAGTCGACATCCTCATACAGATCCTAGGTCTAGCCCAAGGCATCTACATACATCTCATATTCAATACAATACACCAAAGACACATGACGTAGGGTATTACGTCGATCAGACGGCACAAACCTGTCTAAATCGTTGTCTCTACGCCTTGTGTCACCATCCGGTTCCTATCACGCACACCTATACCGATCAATCTATCTTCATGGAATACCCCTTAAAGGACTGCCAACATCTTTTGTCGACAGAAACCGAACTAGAAGTGGACTTAAATAGACTGATAATATGATTTGTGTACATAATTACTAATGAAGAAGTCATAGAAGAAGAAGAAAGTCGTAAAACGTCAATGATCCCGCGTGGTATTTTGCGAGATTGTGCAATTCCCACAGCCGCCACCGTGAAAAAATGGTCCCAAATGGGGCCAAATTACTCAAGTTCACTGGTTCATTCTGATTAATAGTATAGGTAACTAGACAAACAAAGCTCACACGATAACAAAGTACAAGTGCTACAAACGGTAGTAATTAGCAAGGTTGATAGCAAGTAACAACCAATAAAATTAATTATAAATTTCTAGTATTTTAAACATCATGGGCTTTATGTAGTTGGATTTATCGATACCGTAACGTACTCTGGATCCGCATTCAATGGGGTTTAGATTGCCTATGTTCATGTGGATATTTAAATTTTGATTTCAGTTAGTCCATATATAAGCCCTGGTTCTAGGTGGATAGCTGCTTTTCGAATTTGGAAAAGAGGATGATAGTGCGGTGGCTCCCACGCAAAAGGAAAAGGAAAAGCATCTCCTACATGTGGTTTTCACGCAAGGGCAGGGGGGGGGACAGTAGAGGGTGCTAGTGCTACTGGCCTACTGCCACCAGGTGCCTCGTGGTTTGTGCCCATTGTTTTCTCTCGGGACCGAGGACCTGGCCCTCGTTTAGTTGTCCGATTTTGGACAACCAAAATCAGGCCCCGTTTAGATGCAAGCCAAAACAAAAATTTTCAAGTTCTTTATCGAATTATTGTTAAATCAATCATTGACTAATTAAATATGAGCGAAAAAAAACTTGTTACACAGTTGACCGAGAAATCGTGAGATTTAATCTTTTAATTTAAATAATTATAATTGACAATTTTTATCAAATACAAACGAAAATGCTACGAGAATCTTCTTTTCATAGGCCTTGGAACTAAACACGCCTCAAAATTCCAAGTTTTTATTGTAGTCCATCACATCAGTTTTTTTTTTTGTATTTGTGGGCATTAAATTTAATCGTAAAAAATAATTAGGGCTCAAACGTTAGTTTCGCAAAAATCACGAGATGAATCTTTTGAGCTTAGTTTTCCATTTCGAAATATTTAATATTTCTCAAATAAGACAAAGTGCTTTTGATTTATCGAGTTGAAATTTTTTTCAATCTAAACAAAGTCATAGTACCAAAGTTTGATTTTGGTGGGAACTAAACGCCCCTGGTGCTGTGCGGGTACTTTCACGGTTAACCCGCCCTTGCTGAATGCTGACGCACATGCCCAAAGAAGCTTGGCCCGAAGCCGATGGCCGGCGACATCAGTGATCGGTCAAAGGAATGGCAGTGGTGACGTAGCACTAGCAGCACTAAAATATCATCTCGCCAAGATATTTAAAAGTCAAAACTACCACTAATCCACTATACGACTCCTAACGAAAAATGGATGGTCATCGGATAGCACTGAAGCAGTCAAGCAGCAGTAGATGTCGTGGGTCAAATCCGTTTACAGTTTT